CGGTCAGACGCGGTTACTTGTGCTAGACATTTTAACTACCGCTATCGACAATTCTTAGTTTTTTAAAGATAATGCCGGCATTTTTGGAGAGCATTTTGTCACAAATTTCTACTCATCATAGGAAATTTTATTCCTCCTAACAAATTTTCTGAATCGGATCCTGTATTTAGGGAACTGAGGGAATTGAACACAAATAAAGTTCTGACAACAAGTTTAAATATTATGATTTCCCGAACATCAGGACATCAAATTTTATTCCATAATGTTCAGAGTCTTCACGCTCACATTAATGATATAAAAAGCGATGCTATCTTCAGATATTTTATGTTTTGTAGAAACTTGGAGTTATTCTTGCGAAAGTTTGGATATACCAGGATTTACTTCAATTAACGAGCTGAGGATAGATAGCACGGAAACAAGCAACAGAAATAAACGGGGCATTATAATATATGCAAAGCATAGTATTGCTGGTCTATAGAATCTAAGTGTTTTTTTAGGCCGCAAAATTTTAGAAGCGATTTTGTTTAAATTTTTCAATATTAATATTCTGGTTTTATATAGAAATTCTGCTTTCTCTGTCAGACATTTAATTGTAGAACTTCAGGAAGTCTTTACTTCTGAGTTGTGCAATCAAAATGTGCTAATTGTTGGATATTTTAACATTTGTTTAATGTCCACAGGGACTAAAATAGGAAATCTGCTCCAAGAAAAAAACTTTAGTTCCCTGCTTGGTGTAGAATATTCAACTACACCTGCCGGTACACAAATTGATTGAGCATTTTCAAACATGGATCCTTTCCATGTAATGCAATTACTTTTGAGACAGTACACAGCTATCATGACAGTATTTGTGTCTCTATTTCGAAACAAATTTTTAGACTTATTCCAATAGTTCTTCATTTTTTTTTCAAATATAATCGAATTAGAATGGTATAGAAATTTTGACAATAGTTTTTAATTCAATTTTCAATTTAAGGAAAATATTAAAATAATCTAATTAAGAAAATTTAAATTATATGTATAATTTGTTATTATATAAGACATTATTGTATAAATTATGATAGAAATTAAATAGTATAAGGCAAAAAGAAATATAATTTGGATATATGTATAAGAATCTCTATAATAATTTATGTTTCATATTGTAAATATTATATAAAAATTAATATAATAGTATAATTTTTAAAGTTATTAATATTTATTATTTTTAAGATAAACATGTATAATATTATCGATATAACAATAAGAAATGTTATTCATTGTCCAAAAACGATTTCTTTTCATACTCCTCAATACAGTTATAATGCATTCTATATAAAATCAATTATAACCGTACACAAAAAACACAAGAACGATTTCGCATAATTTGAGTAAATTTAGTTTATAAATTGCTCTAATTAATTTCACTGTGAATGTAAATAACTGAGGCAACAGTATACGATTTAACGATAGTTTGTGTATTCAGAAAAATTACAGAAAAAGTTTTTCTTCCAACATATTTTTAATACTGATGCTACTTCGTATATTCTTCTAAATTTTAATTAAAGTTTAAAATTAAATTAAATTTCTTCTAAATTTGTATTATAATTGAAATTTGCGAGAGGTTTTACATCACCGTGCTAAAGTCGACGAGCGTTTGCATCAACATCTATCTGCTCAACCGCTACGTACACTAGCAAAACTTTTCAAAATGAAATAATCGAGATCTATCAGAACTTGATTACAAGATACATTATCAATAATGTTAATAAATCCCACGGATTCTAGTAGATGGTACAACAGATAGTCCAGCAATGAGCGGTGAATTTCATGGAGCTCAAGCATACGTATGTATATACATACATACATATGTACATTGCGCTGCTCATAGCTTGAATTTAGCTATTAATTCATCTCTACAAAAATTCCTGCGTTGACACAAAATATTGAAGAATGTAATCGGAAGTCTGAAAACAAAATTCAGAAGCAGAATGGAATGAACCCGTTCCAATTTAAGTACATATATATATCGAATTGCATCCATTTGTAGTACTAGGAGAAGCAAAACGAAATTTCAAATCTTTGACTTTATTATGGGATCGGTACATTCAGTGACTTTACCTCTTATTCTGTAATTGTAGTTATCTGATGAGAATCTTGCAGAAACAATGAAATTAGCAGAAGACGCTTCAAACGAAATTGAATGTGTGCGGCAAAATGCAGACAAAAACTTTCATTTGATCTTCTAACTCGTTGAAGAAGTATGTACTGAACTAGACACAGAAATCAAGGTACTACGATACAGTAGTCGCCAAATGTATTGTTTTCATTACAAAATGACGCATTTTACATTCCTTTTCTCGACACGTATATTGGCCAATTGAAGAGCAGGTTTTTAAACCATTTCGCCATACCCTCTCGACGTGTTAGACATTGTAAACAACACATCTTTCCCAAATATTTTTAAGATTTTACGTATACTCGCGCTTTAGCCCCCGTCAACTTGAACGAAGTTTTTCAAGTTTGAAAGGAATCAAAGCAACTTGCGGAATGCAGCAGGGTAAGAGAGACTCAAAGGTGGCCTCCCAAAACGCTTCCTCGTCCCTCGATCCGCCACTGGTGCAAACAAATATGTACAAGTTAGAATGGACTAAGTTTGGATGTAATCGAACTCTTGCAACTTGCAAGGATCAAAGCCTGGAAATACTTTCAGGTTTCGGCAAAACTTTATGTTAAAAAAAGTTGCGAAAGAATTTAACATTCATTGTTTGAAGAAGTCGTGAATGGATTACAATCAAATTAGGTATCTTATTAACTTATGTATATTATAAGTTGTTGACTACTTAGTTTCATTAATACATTTAGCATGTCCGAAAAATAGTATTAACAATATCAACCTAATTAACTTAAGTAAAATATTTGTGTTATAAACTCAATCAAAGGGCTACTTTTAATATACAAACGTCAACAAGAGGATGACGAATTCCAATTTTATTCTGGATTAATGAAAATCATTATAAATAGTATATGGGAGTTGGGCTATATTCAATATTATACTTTCACTTTATTTTGCTAAGATATCTTACATGTTGACCAATATATACGGCATAAAGCCAATCGGAAGTTTGAAATTCGTATATAATTGACCAATATACAAGTATATGGCGCCCAGGGCCATTTTTGTAAGAGAATACACTATTATTAAAAAGAGATTCACTGAATTTCACTAAGATTTTTTACATATTGATCAATAGATGTGGCTCATTTATTAAGTGAATTATCGCACTTGCAGTAGTTTTCAACACAACCGTTATATGGGGAGTGCGCGTGGTTATTACCCGATTTTACCCATTTTCACTGCGTATAAGAAGGTGCTAAAAGGACTTCTTCTCAGTTGTCCGATATATATGTATATAACTCCATATCTATCTCGATTGGTTTTAGGTGATACAAACAACCGTTAGGTGAACAAAACTATTACACTGTGTAGCGACATTTAGCAGGAGTAAAAACATGCATTTGGCTGCATAAATCACGAGGTACAATAGCGGTACACATAACGGGATATTGGCATCAAAATATGAAACAAATTTTTAATGTGATGATTCTTTATCTGCATTGCTAATTCTCGGAGAACCTTAATATAGGAGTGTTAGACATTCGCTTTCAAAAATTATGTTTAACCTAAAATATATTCACAAATTTAGGAAGTTAAGTTCCATTATCTATCAGCAATTTGAATTAATTATTGTTAAATTATTGGATTTTTCTTCAGCGGAAACGTTTTAGAGATAAATTGGAAAATGGTAAAAAAAAATAATGAGAAACTTATAAGGAAATCCAAGATATGGAAGTATATTTTGCTTAAATAGTAACCAATGCCTTAAATTATAGGAATTTTAAATTAAAGTTTTTAAAAATTTTTCATACTACATGGAATACTCTATTTTAAGGAACTAGTTTTTCCATTTATTTAGCATACATTTTAATTTATATATAATATATGCACTATGGAAATATTAATACATCATTTGTGAATATGTTGTGCAAAAATTTGAAGACAAAAACATTTTTCTTATTAAAAATTTAAAGATTTGTTTAGTACATGTAATCAATCCCTTTTTTAGGTGACAACTGTATGCACATATTTGTAAATGAGAAATATTTATTTTTTTGTAGATAAACTTTAAATACATTCATTATTACTAAATATGACTTCGTCATATTTTGTTTATAATAAAATATTTTTAAATAAGAAAATCTAAATATACATACATTTTTGACAACATAGTTAATAAAATATTAAAAAATTATGTAAACAAGATCATTTTTAAATAATACCCATATTTTCAAATAATAAACGATTTTGCGCATAGATGTTTTTAAAATCGTGAATATCCGAGATCAAGAAATACAATAACTTTATGTTACTTTATATACATATATTCTATTTTATACATACAACTTAAGATTGTAAATTTTATCCACGAAATAAAGTACTAATACTTTATCGCAAATATGTACGTATGCATTTGCGTGGATATACAATTGTATGCGAGTGGTGAGGAATTTGAAACATCATTTGGGATATATGTATATATATACGCGGTATATGTATATATGCAGTATATGTATATATATACGCAGTAAATGTATATATATACGCAGTATATGTATATATATACGCAGTAAATGTATATATATACGCAGTATATGTATATATATACGCAGTATATGTATATATACACGCAGTATATGTATATATATACGCAGTATATGTATATATATACGCAGTATATGTATATATATACGCAGTATATGTATATATATACGCAGTATATGTATATATATACGCAGTATATGTATGGCAAGATGTAAAAATTTTGGAAATCTCAATGAATATGTTTCCAATTGCTGCCAAATAATAATGTTAAAATTTTGGCTTATTACTCACATTACGAACGAAACTCGTCAATTATATTATATAATAACCATCCAAATATTTTGGATTGTATAACCCATTTTTAGTATAATGCATTTATATTTATTTATCCATATAACATACGTTTACCATTTGCTTAATATAACTACCGAAATTTAGTATGAGTTTTAATATGTTTTTTTAAATGATCACTACGCATGAACCGCCGCTCACATTCTATGCATACAAAAGGTTTCTCTCCGGTGTGAGTGCGAAGGTGACGATTGAGATCATCCTGTCGTTTAAATGACTTTTTACAAAGGTTACACCGACAAGGACGGTGGGGATCAATTAAATTTTCCAAAGTTTCTTTTCCCAGTTGGGCCCAATCCATAAATGCTCCCTGTACAGGTAGCATTGTTAAATGTTGTTCTGTCGTATCAGAATGCTGCTTCTTGATTGTCTGTGTCACGAATTCAGAAGATATTTGATCTTCCGACACCAAATCTGAGGTTCTTGGTTCGTTTGTTTCGGGTGGCACTATATGGTATTCATCGCTATTTTCCGGCCGTTCTAATTTTATTTTTATAGGTTTGTGACCCAATAAGCCATCAGATGTTAGCTTTTCAGCTACTGGTTTAACTTTCGCATCAGACGTTACATCTTTAGACTGACCACAATTTTCAATTAGAGCTGCCATAAAATGCATCCCGTTGCTATATTCTTCAGTTTCGCTAGGAAACTCTGAATCATCATAGCTATTTTTAGAATCCGATGATTCGTTCAAAAAACATCCCTTTTTGGACCGTCTTTCCTCCTCTTGCAATCGTACTTTTTTAGTACAATTTTGCATCTGTTTAGCATGAGTAGCAAGGTGTTTTGTTAGATGGTCACTACGAGAGAATTTCTTTGTGCACTGTGAAAACGCAAAGCAATTTTAAAATGTTAAAATTGTATTTATAAGTTTCCAACCTGTATACATTCAAACGGTTTTTCTCCCGTATGAGTTCTGACGTGACGATTAAGCTCATCGGATCTAGTAAATCCTTTACCACAGTTTTGTTGTGAACAAACAAAAGGTTTGATTCCAGTATGCCAGGTTAAATGTGAACGTAAATGAGAACTCTTTCCATAACTTTTCGTGCAATTTTCATAGGGACAGGCAAACCTTCGTTTGGGATCTATCGGATTTGGGATGGCCATCAGCTTAATTGTTGGTGTAAGACGGATTTTAGGACTATTCGTACGTTCATTGAGATTTATATTGCAAACATTTTTAAACTTTAAAATACTTTCTGGGCGGTCATCAATATCTTCGGGAGGTTCATGCTTTATCTCCGATCTTAATCCTGGAATCAATAAAACTAGACCGTTATTCACGGTAAATGTATAATCATATCTACATTACCATCACTCCCACATATAGCAGTTGGTAACAACAGCGATGTTGCAGCTGACGTCATCTCTTGTGGTGTGGGCGTGTCATTTATTGTGGCAGACATTTTGTCGAGTACTTTCAATCTATTTTTTATTCAAATATTGACTATTAGTATATTAGTATATTTATTTGTATAATATATGAGTATTTTAATAAGTACTTTTGGACTGTGAAGCTAGATGTTCGATTTGCTTTTAAGGTTTTCTCGTCGCTATTTTTCAGTAGGCGTTCCCGTTTGTTTTAGTAGTCCAATCCCACCCCGCTTATCTTTTCAATTTTCGTACACTATTGTTTTTCCATTTGTACAAATAACAATCTTTAAAACATACAGTATCTTTTTCCGCCGGCTAAAACTAAACAATAACAATGTTTTACAATCAATAAATTAATTATGTTAGCCACGTTTAAAACTGATTTTTTTTAATCCATGTCCACATACCGGGGAAACCAATTGCATTTACTATGCACAATAAATTACAACGTCGCACAATGGCATTACCAACATAAATTTATTCTAACTAATATTGTCTTCACACAGTGTTTTAATTAGCATCTCAATTGCACGAATAGGCATCTCCGAAAACTATATAAGATATTTCAATTTCACATAGTAATATTCAATAGGTAAAAGCCTTGGTTAATAATAGAGATAATATATGCATGTACATATATTTAGGCCTCATATAGGATATCTAGCTTCTCAAATTAATTTTAATTATGTATATTTTTCTATAAAATGGAAATCGAAGAATATCCAAAAAATACATTAAAAAATCTCAGAACTTATTTCTTTCCTTAGTGGCACCACTATCAAATGTTATAAGAAATGTGAACTTTGACAACGCTCTCTCGAATCAAAAGGTTTCTTCCATTGTATAATTGTTACCTATGTGTGTAACATCCGTGATCACCTCATCGGATCTGCATTTTTTTGACACAGAGATGTAAATAAAAGGAATGTATTTCAGTTTAACAACTTGTTTGTGAACATGTATTTGTAATGGAGAATATAAATGAAAACTTTCAAGAATATTTTCGAAACAAAAGATTATTATATATATATTTCTTTTCCTCACCACCTCTGAGGTGTTCGGTTCCCCAGGAGGCCTATATTTACCCATATAATATATACAGTTTTTAAACAATCTTAATTTTCTTAATAATTACACCTCGAAAAGATATATACATAAAATCAGGTACATGAATATAAATTACATTAACAATTTAACATTAACAATATAAGTTGAAATATTCAACTTGATTTTACCAAAAACGAAAATAGGTATAAAAAATGAGGTACAATTCAGGAAAATAACAATAATCAAAACAATATACGAAGTAACAAATAATATTTACAAAGTATTCTAAATCACCGTTACACAATAATATATTTGATAAAATTGGAAACATTTAATAATATTTTAATACAATAAATAATAATTTAAATAATACTATGTAAATTTAATCTTTAGGAATTAAAACAACTGAAAAATATTTGAATATGTAATAAAAACATTCTTAAGGTTATAAATTTTAAAACATAACACGGCAACACACTATAGCAGATTTGTATCATTTGGACCTTTTAGTAGCAGAATATTGGTTGTGAGTCCGTACCAAGTGTGACTTTAGTAGAGAATATAAGTAGGCAACCCGTACCAATTGTGAATTTAGTAGTAGAACTTTCGAGGCAACCCGTACCAAGTGGGATATTTTTGCGTGTGAATTAGTGAAAATCTTAGGATTGGTTATTAGGACGGCTTTTACGTTGGGACTCTTTTGACCCTAATTTTTTTCAAATTCTCTTTTGGTGTCGCTCTGTGCATTCACACGGGCAAAAAGAGTCCAGCGCTCGAGTCTACTTTTTCTGCATACCTTTTCAAAAATTTTCGTAAATATTTGTGCGGTTCGACTGCGCAACACTTAGAGCGTGTTGCATGTCATTTGTATGTTGAGATGTTGGTGACACATTTTGCTTGCAATGAATTACCATGAATATGGTAGAACAATATGCACAATACCTACCCGCTTAATAGTTTCAAAGAAATACTTAAGACGGGAATTCCCTAATCGACCAGAATGTATTGAATATCCGCTACTAATATTTTCAAGGCCAAATTTATAACAGGAATTTCCTAATATTTAAGTATTAAAAATTCATAATTTCTTTACTCCATATTTTTGTCTATTTATTATAAGACATCCTTGAAGTAATTACAGTTCTCATTTTAAATAAAATAATATCGAACTAACTCTTTTGCGGTTAAAAGAAATATATATGAAAGCATCTTAATATTTTATGTTAATATAAAACACCAAAGTTACCATTTTTATTAGAATTATTTTATGTATACATTATTACATTTAATACCGCTATATGTTATTAAAAATGGAAATTAAATATTTGTGAGTATCTTAATTTTTTTCTCCTTATTTACAATTTTTCAACATATTTATATTATTCTATGCATACATATTTGCATATTACATACAAAAAATAGATAACAGAATTCAAACTGGATTATTGGGCTTGATGGGTGCATTAGAAAGACGGTGGTAGTCAGCACAGGAAGCAGATCTTCCAAATGAAGTAGCGAAATCGCCGCCAGAGAGCCAGTGAGTATTTGCAGGAGTTTTCTACAGAGATTGAGAGGTAAGCTCACTTAGCTTATGCACATAAATCCGTGAAATACATCGAGGACACGAAAATTCAGACTTTCGTCAATGGAATACGAGATAACACTACACGCTTCTCTGGGTTAGCATGTTTGACATTTGCGGAAACCGTTTCGTATGCTCTAACACAGGAAACTGCATCTCTGCTTAACAGTAATAATTAATCATAAAGTAGAAATAGAACACACTTGGGTGAACCAATTACTTGAAAAAATTGACAACATGCAGAAAGCACGAAAACGCGTAAAAAAAATTATGGTGTGGTTAAGTGCTTTAACTGCGGAAAAAGTGATCATATTGCACGTAACTGTAACCAGTCCAGTTATCCAATTGGACGTAAACGCAAAGCTGAGGAAGATCAAGCAAATGTCAAATCCAACCAGTTGTTAAACTAAAGCGAACCAGCCGAAAAGGGCTCGGGCTTACTCCCGCAAGCAAATGCCCTGTAATCTCCATTTCACAAATAAGCAGGAATACGAGTATCACATTCCATAATTCTATCTGATCTGGTTGAAAGTTGCGTACTGCAACTGTAGAAGATACCCAAGCTCTCGGAAAAGTAACATGCGAGATCGTAATTGGAAAGGCATCCGTGTTACACAATTTTATAGTGGCAGATATCGTTGACGAAGTCATAATTGGAGTAGACTTTCTAGCGAATCAAGAATTTAAAATTGACATGGAAAACAGGAGTATGTCCTATAGAAATATGGAAGTGCCACTTACGTTCGGTTACGATAATAAGTACAACGTTAGGCGAGTGATAACAACAGAGAGTCAGCAGATTCCACCAAAATCAGAAGCAGTTATTTGGGCAGAAATAGATGGAGATTATGGGCCAAACAAGTGGTGGATTGTTGAGGCCACAAAAGAATCTACATCAAACTTACTTATAGGAAATGACAAGACAGGATAAACGTGTTCCAGTAAGAGTACTAGTGCAAGTTACCAATCAAACTCTTTAAAGGAGATATATTGGGGCAGTGTCAAGAGATTGAGGCCGTGATAAATTACGAAATAGGTCTTGAGGAAGATTCCATGGACGAAAACGATATATCGAGTGAAATTAACGCATGGACCTAGGAACTAGAGGCAAACCATCAAACTTCGGCTAAACAACTTCTTCTCAGACATTTATCCATATTTGTTAAAGACGATGCCAAACCAGGAAGAACCAAAGTTGTGAAACACTTTATTAACACAGGTGATGCAAGACCAATCGGGCAGGCTTATCGAAGCGTTCCATTAGCAAAACGGGAAGTTGTAAGCTAGACCATACGTGAAATGAGCAAAAGCGGGGTAATTGAACCATCAGAGGGTCCATTGAGCTCACCTGTAGTACTTGTGAAGAAAAAAGATGGCAACATGAGATTCTGTGTGGACTATAGAAGATTGAATGATTTATCAAAGAAAGACAGTTATCCATTACCAAGATTCGATGACACGCTGGACTCGTTATCATAGATTATGTAACGCTCCTGCTTTGAGAGACTAATGGATAAGGTATTAAAAGGATTACACTGGAAGACCTGTTTGGTTTTCCAACGGTTATCTAGTGCTGGTATAAAGCTGAGTCCAAAAAAGTGTTCCCTTTTTAAAAAGGAAGTAAGCTACTTAGGATCCAAAATGACAACAGAGTGCATTTGCACAGCAAATGAAAAGATAGAGGCAGTAAGAGATTGGCCCACTCCTAAAAATTTACATTAATTACGGAGTTTCTTCCGACTGTGTACATATTAAAGACGATTCGTTCCAAATTTTGCCAGCGTAGCTAGTAGCCTCCATGAACTCACGAAAAATAACATTGTTTTTGAATGGAATAAAGAACAGGGAGTGGCTTTCCAAACTCTGAAGAAACTGCGCCAATGTTACTATACCCGGTTCTAGGATCAGCGTTTATTTTGGATACGGATACTAGTGGATTTGCAGTAAGAGGCGTTCTATCACAAGTCATTGATGAGCATGAGAAAGTGGTTGCGTATTACAGCCAGATCATAAGCAGGTCAGAGAGAAATTATTGTGTTACTCGGAGGAAATTACTGGCGTTGGTGAAGTGCATTAAACATTTTCATAAGTATCTTTATGGCCAGCGATTTCGGGTGAGGATAGTTCATGCAGCATTAAAATGGCTTCTACAATTCAGGGCAAAGTTCCCGAGCCTGATGATTGTTCCGAAAGTAAGTATTCCCGAAATTCTCAACGAGCTGCACAACAGTCCAAGTGGAAAACACATATGGGTATCACTAAAACCTTGGAGAAATTAAAACAAAGATTTCATTGGGTTGGTTGTCGTCAATTAGTTACGGAGATGGATCGCCAACTGTGTCGAGTGCATTGCTACTAAAGGGCCGAGGTCCAGGATTGATGGTCCATGCGCCATTTGAGCGAGTTGCCATGGATGTATCTGGTCCATTTCCTATCAGTAAATTAGGAAACAAATATGTGTTGGCAGTCATGGGCTATTTCAGCAAATGGGCAGAAACATTAGCGGATGTATTTATCAACAATTTGGTACTAAGATATGGTATTCCATTACCATTACATTTTGACCAAGGAAGAGTTAGCTCTAATACAGGATATATGCCAGAAACTGGGTATCCCGAAAACCCGTACAATTGCACTACATCCGCAGTCCGATGGCATGGTGGAACGATTCAATCGAACTTTGGAAGAATATTTGAGAAAAGTTGTGGACAAGTATCAAACAGATTTGGATACCCATATATCCTTGTTCCTGATGGTTTGTCAACAGCATCCTAGAAGATGAGATGATGGATATACATGCTATGGTGAGACAGTGCACCAAAATTATAAGCGATAAAATGAAAGAAAAATACGACAAAGCATGAACTTTGAGGGTTTTATTGAAGGCGATTGGGCATTGTTATATAATATAATCTACAACGAAAGAAACGGTTACCTTCCAAATTATAGTGTAATTGGAAAGGACCATACCAGGTAATTAAACGACTCAACCACCAAGGAATAAAATGAAGGTGGTTCATCTGGAACGGCTTGCAGCGTTCGGTACCACAAATATGTCTAATCGGAATGATCAGACTCAGGTGGAGGGCAGTGGGGCGAACACGAATACCAGAACAAATCAGAATCGACGGAAACTGCCAGAAGCAACTACACAGCGAATTCGTAGTTGCCAGAATGTTCTAGTAGCGAACTTTTGTTAAAGCAGCAGACACAGTTCTAATTACAGTGTTGCC